GTTTTTCTCCGGTACCGGAAACCGAACTCACGACCTTGCGCTTGCCAGGCAGGCGCTTTTGCCGCTGAGCTAAATCCCCAGCCCCGAAATCCACACGATATTATTACCAGTGGTTCTTATACTTATTCAAAAGACTAAACTGCAATCTTATAATAATGAAACAGTAAAACTTCTGCTTACTAGGAAGCATGAAAGTTAAAGTTTCGTAGGAGAGAAGACAGACTTTTTGAAGGCAGTCCTAGTGTTAAATTTCAACATCCTATGCTAGCTGCAACACACACCCACACTGTTGGCTTCTCAATGACATCATTACGGTCACAACTGATAAAACGGAAAGTAACCAATACATTAACCCTGAGCTTCCATATTCCCAGTTCACTGACTCAGACCATCTTAATCCAGGAAAATGGCTTTCACTACAGTCATTTCTAAATGTATCTCCCAAGCACAGAGTTTATAAAATAAGTTATTCTAAACAATGGACCTTTAATTTGGAATGATGGAGAGGCACACAGATAAATATAAACAGTAAGAAATCATTCCACTTCATTTACAGGTCCACACCATCCAGCCTGCACCTGGAATATTAAGCAGCTGGTGCCTGACCAGACCCAACAGTGAGAATGTAAGAGCCAGATGGTGCTAGAAAAACATAGGGAGACAATTAAGCGATGACTGTACCGAGTACCAGGAACTGGTCAGTAAGAATGGCTTAAATAAGTATGCCAACACAGAGGTGAGTAAAAAAACAATCCTATTTCGTCTTTAGAAAGAACTATGTCACTGAAATTTGAGTTTAAGTTGTTGCCATTTGCTTGGATGAGGTCTTGAAGGTTCCCCATTTTCTCTGCACCCCGTTTAAGAAAACATTGACTAGAAATCTGTGATAAGAATTTAGTAAAGGCTTCTCCCTCCTGCTCCTCATTATGCCAATGCAAGCACTGAAAAATTCCAAACAGAAATCAGGTTAGTGGTACAGAAAATTCATGAATGATAAATCTACACAAACATTAAACCATACAACAATGACCCAAATGCGTAAGACCAACATCTTTTCATTCAGATCAGTTTCTTTATTCTTCCTGGCTAATTAGCACTAAACTTTAAAAACTAAAGTCCAAACTAAAACTGCTTTGCCAGTAAGAATCATAATCCTCCCCAGTCTTAGCTATGGACCTGAAAAAGATGGCTTTGCTCACTTAGAAAGGAGTGGTAGATCAAGGAGTTCCTAACCACAGAGGGGCCCAGCATTCCAGGAATTTCCCACTCCCCACTTCCCCTCCTGCTTATCACCCTGACCAACCCCCACTCCTCACACAGCACACGAGTCCCCCTGTTCAAAAAAGCTTCCAGGCAGGAAACAGAAATACGTACCACTTATAGCTTCTTGTGCAAAATATTTGACATCCATGTCTTCATCCTGGCCTAGCTTCTGCAGTACCGGTTTAACTTCCCCTTGCAAAGCACTAAAATTCAAAAGTACGACCTGTGAAAAGCAGTCTCACATGCCAGAGAAATCTCTCATGATCTCTGGTATCATCTATAGGCACTATGGCAACTTTTAAAACTTAAAATAAAAAATATTTTAAAACATTCATAAACTTGACAAATACTCTAGTCTACAGCCATACCACCCTGAACACGCCCAATCTTCTCTAACAAATACTCTAAATAACTTGTAAAGTCCTTAGCAAAATTAGCTTCAGAAAATGATCTGTCATATACAGAGCTTAAATAGTAAAGGGTGGACATCCTCAAAAATGGTTGCTAAAATATTCTTTTAAATCTATATCTATGTAAAATGAGAACTTCATTTTAGCTGTTACTCCCCGTTATAAGGTCAAAGTTAAAATACATTTTTAAAACAAGAATAACACTAAAATCTTACTCAGTGTCTAGAAGAGGCCCTATTTTTTGAAGAGATTTGGCCACATTGAAACGAACATTTGCTACTTGGTCTCCTGCCATTTTTAATACGATGGGCAGCATTTGCTTAGTGGTTATTTCCTGACCACAGGCTTCAGAGAGTGCCTAGAAAAATAAATAAGATAGCATATTTAAAACGCTTTTTTTAAAATTCTGACATCTAGCAAGACAAATTAATATTTAATAAGAAAGCGATTGGCCAACAGGAGACTGTTTCTAGTTTGAGCATCTAAATTAAGAAGTACACAGCATTCAAAAATCAGAGAACTAGATCACAATTCACAACTAAGCTGCAACTTTTAAAATACTACCAAAAATTTTAACATGAATTTTAAAATCAACCTTTTCTCTTATCTCCTACATTCCTTACTAATCATCATAAAAATATATTCCAGGACCAGGGAGATAGCTCAGTGGCACAAGTGCCTGCCTGGCAAGTGCAAGGTCCTGAGTTCGATTCCTGGTACACCACCTCCCAAAAAATATATTCCAAATAGAAGACAGTGTATTTCAGAATTCAGATGTTCCTGCTTTAATGATAAGTGCTTTAATGCCTGAGGTTACATAATACTTACATTAATGCAGAACAAAGTGGTCATTCTATGCAAGTAATTAGGATCATTTGCCATTACCAGCACTTTGGGGACTATGGTATTTTCAGCCCACTCTGTACCAAACTTCTGAACTAACTTCATGAGGTTGCTGGTGGCAGCTTCTCGGATGGCATACACTGCAGAAGAGGTCAAGAACACATCACATACTGCTTACTTCATAAGCACAATGTAGTTGACTTACATCAACATAAAACATGGACCAAACACACTCACAGTACAATGGCAAGAATGTTCAGCCACAGTTCACCCTAACTTATTAACAGTTCTGAAATGCTTACTTCCAAGGAAAATGGATGTTAGGATTTTGTTCTCTACATTATCAATTAGCAAATACAGGTACCTATTAGGTTCTATGTGTTACACAAATAGACACTTGCCCTCAAAGATCACACACTCAGGATAGGGCTGCAACTCAGGGTAGAAGACCACTCCGCTCTATGCACAAAGCCTTGGATTCAACATCCAGCACCAGAAAAAAAAATTAAACTCTATGTACTCTCATTAGAAAAACGAGAGCTAATGTACTTCAAAAACTGTAGGACCGATTACAACGAAGTAGGGCACAGTGCAGTAAAGAGTTGTGACAACTATGGGAGGTGAAAGAATGAACAATGAGGCACTGCGCCGGGTGATGAAGATGGGGCAGATCTGAGACAGGAGAAGGCAAAGGGAGGAATTCCTGCGAAGTGGAATTAAAAAGTATCCAGCACACAAAAGAAAAAGTCCGGAATCTGTAAGGCTAGGGAGTTAAAAGTAGGCCCAGACCATAGAGAACTTTGAAAATTAAATTTAATAGGGTGTGGTGGCACACACCTGTAATCCCAGCACTCAGGAGGCTGAGACACGAGGTTTGCCATAGTTTGAGACCAGCCTGAGTGAGTTCAAAGCCCAGCCTGAACTACAGGCTGAGACACTGTCTCAAAAAAAAAAAAGTTAAATTTAGACTTGATAGGAGAAATAATGAGTTTTTAAAAGCACATGTGTGACCTAGTGACCAATGCTGTATTTTGATAAGACTATCCAGCAGTGGAAAAGAGAACAGCTAGGAGAAAGCGTTTGGGAGATCCTGTGGAGGACACTGTGGTCATTTACCCACCAGCAAATAAAAACTTCATACCAACTTGCTTCTTTTCCATTAAAAATGTTTAGATTGAGACAGGATGATGAATGTCTTCTGTAAATCAATGTGCTTCCTTTAATGTAACTCCCTAAAAAACCATTCATCACAGACATCATAAGTCTAGATCATGAAGGTCTGAGGTCCAGAAAGTTTCGAAATGTGGGTTTATATAACAAATGAAGGGTGGCCAGTACTAACATCTTACTCTACTTCTCTCTCCAAGCAGACCCAACATTCAAGAATCGGCAGGAACAGGATCGAAGCCACAGCCCTGATGCTAAACCATTGATGGTGAACATATGGCGCGCGTGCCGCAGGCCGCAGCGAGCTGTTTGTATGATTGTAAACTCTAAAAGGTTCACGTCACTGTCCTAGACTACAAGGCTCCAGACAGGAAACACCCAACTCTTCTCCATACACTGATGCCTCTGGGCAATGAGGCTGAGGAAAACAGCAAAGACAGCATAGACAAGCAACAGTACAATTTCTTACCAGTGCTTAAAATGGCTAAAATCTCTCACAGTAGCAACTTATTAAGATAACCCAGAAGCACTAAGAAGCAAGCTCAAGTCAACCGTTTCATCAGAAGACAGATTCTTTCCCATCACACAGTCCTTAAGCCCAAATCCCTTCTCGGCTCCTCCCTCTAAAGTGGAACCATGGCATCTGTGTTGCTTCCTCTACTCACTGTTTTCTAATACACTTGAGAGGTCTCTCATCATAATACCATTACCACAGAACGGGATCCCAAGGCCAGCACGACCAGCAACCAAGCATATACGTGCTTAAGCCCTGACGGAGACCTTAACTGCACTGAACCCTACTTCGCCAAATGCCTACTATCTTCTTGCTCCTCTCAATTCTATCAGAAAAATGTAAACTACTTCACAGTTCTGCCTGGTTTTTTTTCTCCTTGTTTTGTCTGTCTCCCCTCCACCCCTCAAGGTCTGGCTGGTCTCTTAAGGTTTCTTTATATCTAGCTCTTTGCTCACCAACTTTGACTTTAATACTTTCTGGTAGTCTATTAACCAGGGAAAAATGTTTCCAAAAAATCAGTGATCACAATGTAACACCTAAAAAATTCAAAAGCAACATTTTTCTTCAAACTATAAAACTCCTAAAATAAAACGCAAAAGCAAAACAGAAAATCTCTATGATCTATTAACGGAACAACTTCCAGACAGCCATTTCACCAGTTCAAAGAATGGTTATGGTCCCCACTCTATGGTGCTAAAGTAAGAATCCCCTCTCTTCTCAAACTGGACGAAAATCAGAAGTGAGCAAGGAGTAACTGAAGTAGCTCAGACAGAGCAATCCTACTCAGAATGGGTGTCAGGAATTTAATTCTTTGCGGCATATTAGAACTTTAAAAGTTCCTCAAAATAAACACTTAACAGTTTACCCCAAGCCCCACTTGGGCAGTGTATTTGTTTACACAGAGATTATCCCAAGCATCGCTGAGGAGGTGTCATTTCAACCAGTTAATTCTGGTTTTGAATAAATTTGAAACATTTTTTTTATAGTTCCTGTTAAGTTACCTTATAAAAATTAACAAAAAAATATGCCATTTTTGGCCATCCAGTATTTAAATAACTGGAATGGTAAAGCAGTTAGTCCAGAATACCAGCTTTCAAAGCAGGTACAAAATGATCTGCTGGGATATGCCATTCCCACTAATATTTATAGGAAATAATATAAACACTTTTCGAAATGAAAAAAGAGTAATTTCTTTCCTATGGTTTGCCAATCTTAAGTTTTATTTGAAGAGGTAACTTAAAAAAAAAAATAGGAGAGAAACAGTCTTTACAATCTAGTTTGAAATACTGGAAGTACCCATATATACGCCCTTACATATATATGTAACAAGTTTTCACATTCTTAACCACATCATCTCCTATATGACACTCTGTGTTGCAGGAGGAAGGGTGTTTCCTGGGGATTAAACCCTGGGCCTTTGCACTACGCTACATTTGCAGCTTTTTCTTTTTTTTCTTTGGAGACAGGCTCTCACTATGTAGTCCAAGCTGGCCATGAATATACTATGTAACTCAAATAGAGTGGAACTCACCACAATCTCCCTGCCTCATCTTCCCAAGTGCAGGGGTTACAGGCGTGTCCCTGCCTCTATACCTAGCTTCTTTGTATTTACTGAGACAGGGTCTTGGTTAAATCACTCAATTACCCAGGCAGGGCTCAAATTTGCAATCCTCCTGTCTGAACCTCCCAGAGTACTGAGATTATAGGCATCCACTACTACATCCAGCTCCCAAACATGCTTTTAACAAAAATCACCTCCATAAGTAGACACAAGCATCCTCATTCTTCGCAATTACCCAGGCATAAGCACCCACAAATGAACAGAGAGAGATACTCAATACATATATAAAGCATACACAGGATACTGTGGAACTGAAACAGGATGCTTACCAAATCCACCAAAACATGGAACAAACAGGAAACTCACTAGCACAGATCTAAGGTCACACTGAAGCTGCCAAATTTGGTGCTAGGACCTAGCTGAGGGTGTATCTTATACCCATTGCGGTCTGCCAGACAAAAGAATATACACATTATATGTCTACCTGAGATCTCATCAAAAAGTCATCCACCCGGCCAGGGATAGAACTCAGTGTAACACCGCCTACCTGGCAAGCGCGAGGCCCTGGGTCTGATTCCTGGTACCAAAAACAAACAAAAAGTCATTCCTGTTGTCCTACCTGACATAAGGTCACCCTCTCCTCATACTGTAGTAGCAGCAGGAGCAAGGGAGCAAGCAGTGAGTCTTCCCTCCCCTCTTTATCCCAAGGCACAAGCGATGTCTCCTATTGCTAAGAATCCTGTACTGTACTGCCCTACAAGGATACATAACCTCCTTCTCTGTCACCTCAGAAAAACCAACCTGCTATTTCTTCCCACCAGGCAGGCCTTTCACTTGACTTCAATCCATGTGCATCCCTTACGTTACCAAACACACTAATGGCACTATGGCAAGTGGAAAACCCTGGGATAAGGAAGTGCATAAACCTGAGTCTGAAGATCAGATAATACAGTAAATGAGAAACAAGACGAAGAGATCATTTAATGAGGAAAATAAATTAGAAAAAAAGAGTTGGACATCATGGTAAAGGCATGTAATCCCAGCACTCGGGAGGCTGAAGCAGGAGGATCACTGTGAGTCCAAGGCCAGCTTGAACTATAGCAAGACTCTGTCTCAAAAAAAAGAGACAAATGGAATTTAATGAAAGCCTTTATTCATCCCTACATTGTTAATATGTGGTCAGATCAGGATTCTCTTCTAAAAGGAAGTACACATCATAGGATATATGCAAAAACTTGGGCCTTCTATAATAATCTGTTTTTATCTACTCACCATGGTCTACAAGCCAGGCCATGCATAAGGAATTCAGTTTTTCATCAAAAAATTCCATACCCTATAAATATAAAAAGTCCAATTAGTATGCATCTCCCAAGTTTAGAAATCAAGATGCCCTATCTATCTATCTATCTATCTATCTATCTATCTATCTACTTTTTGAGACAGGGTCTCATTATAATGTTCAGCTGGGATTATAGGTACACATGCATGCACCACTACACCTGGCTATAATGTTCCATTTATATTACACAATGACTACCTAAAGGCTATAAAACACTTCCAGCCAGGAGTGGTGGCATACACCTGTAACCCCAGCAATCAGGAGGCTGAGGCAGGAGGGTTGCCATGAGCTTGAGGCCAACCTGGGCCACACAACTAGCTACTAAGTCACAAAACAAAACATACTTGTTTCCAAATAAACTAAGTTCACAAAACAGTAGAAAAGGTTACCGTAAGATTAATAAATTAGCCAGGCATGGTGGCACAAGCATGTAATCCCAGCACTCAGGAGGCTGAGGCATGAGGACCACTGCAAGTTTGAGACCAGCCTGGGTTACAAACTGAACTCAAGGCCAGCCTGAACTGCATAGCAGAACCCTGTCTCAAAAAGTAAAATAATAATAATAATAATAATAATAAATTATAAATCTTTTATTAGATAGAAATCATAAAGAAAGCATGAGATGGCATAGGCTCTGCCAAGTACGAGAAAACACAGTGGCCAGAAGCCAGAGACAAGGCTGCAGAAGAATAGGAAGAATGCAATGTGGGTGGCCAGGCAAACAAAACCTAGATTACCTATGAAAATCTATTATTCAGGAATACATCTGTCAATAGTATTAATAATTCTTGGGGGGCTTCCCTTTTAGGTTAGTATCGTAACAAATTCTTAGGAATAATGCAACTGGCATCAAGATTTCACCAGTAAACTACAGTATTTCTGGAAAGACAGAAGAAAGCACTGGATGGAGAACAAAGCAGGTGCCAGAGTACAGGGTAAGAGGCCCCTCTTTGGAGTCGCAGGCAGATCCGCCTCAGCTCTCCCAGCCTTGTTCCACAAGTCCATGGGGATGAGCTTCCAGAGATGGGTCACGCTGACCTCTCACCCCAGGTGAGGGCACCAGCATGCACTTTCCTGGTGCCTTCCTTATACGGAGAGTCTTTTGATTCTTTGAATTACACAAAATTTGTGACCAAGGATGATACATTCTAAAAAGATACAATATAATATTCAACCCTGAAAACAGTGGCGGAATAGACAAAATGGTTTTCTCTTACAGATCACTATGAATAGATTTGGGCAGACATTTAGATTACCATGTCAGCTCTCAAAGATTTCTTTTTAATTTCAGTTGAAGAGTTTCCTTCAGTCTTAATTAACTTTCACTTCCTAATTTTTCTGGTTTAACTTTATATTTACTCATCATGCTCTATAAACCAACCCATATAGTCTTCAAAGAATTTTATAAATTGGTAAAGAAAATCTTTACACACAAAAAAATCAAAAAGAATATGTAACTAAATAGAAGCACAAACTGTAAAACAAAATGTTCATGACTGATACATGTCACCCCAACCATACAGGTAAAGCCAGCCAAAGTTACCATCTGCTTTGCTTCCATACTACTTGGTATGGCTAGCAGCCTTTGGACAATTTCCAGGCCTAGGAGTAGAGGTTGAAAGAAATGGAACTAAAATTCACTCTCCTTTCCAGAGTTCTCTCAGTCTTCAGCAAACCCACTCTGGAGAGTGATCTGTGGCAGCCGCCAGTAAAGAATAGAAATAGCTCGGGATATAACTCAGTGACACAAGCACCCGCCTGGCAAGCACAAGGTCCTGAGTTTGAGTCCCAGTACCAAAAAAAAAAAAAGAACAGAAATGACCCTCAGCATTTGGAAGTGACAGTGGAAAAATCTGACAAAATAACTTTAACCCTATTAGATATTCTGACATCTTTTGCCATCCATTTTGAAGAATGGAGCCCTTCAAATTTTGTAAAACAGGAAATGCCACAGGCATCCACAAGATGTTCATAAATTAAATATACCAAAATTAGCAATATAAATTCAGTGGTCTAAGAAAAAAATGCATAAACCTCATATGCTATGACCTGAAAAGCAGAGGTGGGGCAAAGACTAGGGGCAGTGGGCACTGTAGTCTCAGCAGGAAACTAATTATGAGATTTCTCAAAAAAAATTTTTTTTCAGGTATTTGTTTACTCTATAATTGACAAATGTCAAGTGCCTAATTAATAACAGGCACCACGGTAGCCGCTAGAAATAAAACAGCACACACAGTTCCTGTTCTAACAGAGGTCACTTGCCTATCTCCTCATCCTGACTGTAACAGACAGTTACAGTACCTTGAAGTGCTACCAACAGGTCAAGGGTACCTTGTGAAAGAGAAAGCAGGATACAGTATAAATCCCAGCTCTGAAATTTTAAGTACAGCGGTTACCAGTTAGAATAAAACTAATCATAAAATTCAGACAGTAAGAGATAACACAATAAAGCTAACTTTGGCCAAAATAACTAGCATTACAAGCTTTTCTATAGGTTTATTCCTCAATTCCCCTTAATCAGAACATAGGAAAAGTTGTTCCCAGCCTTTTGCTTAGAAAATAGGCAAACAGGAAAGGTGCCCTGAACAAAAACCAAAATTGATGGCCACCGTGTTCACTCTTCCATGGTGGTCCACCCTCATGCTGTACAGTGCACTTTTCCTACTTTTATTTGCCTCAAATTCACTCTGTAGGGCCTGTTTCTTTTCTTACCTTTAATAAAACTTTGCTACCATTAAAAAAAAAAAAGCAAAACTGAATTAACCTGACACCATAATTTTCTTTTCCACGGATTAGTCTTTAAGTCAGATAAGTATTAAATATTACAAAATTTACGTTTAAATTACCAAGAAATTGATTACATACTTAAAAGTTGTTGTTTTTTGAGACAGGGTCTCAATATGTAGTGTAGGTTTTTGTTTCTTTTGTTTTTTGTTTTTGTCTTTTTTGAGACAGGATCTCACTATCCAGTTCAGGCTGGCCTTGAGCTCACTTTGTAGCCCAGGCTGGCCTCGAACTCATGGCTATCCTCCTGCCTCATCCTGCCAAGTGTTGGGATTATGTGTGTGTCACCATACTCAGCAAGAAATTGATTACATTTTTCTATGGTTTTCTTGTTGCATGGCAATCAGGTGAAACATGTTTTAGTAATACCTTTCTGATGGAAATTAATGCACTATTATGAAAACAACAAAGCATCCAAAGGCAACAAGGCCAAGAGTACATTTTCATGCATCTAAATGAACAGAATTATGGAGGGTATCCAGGCCTCCTACTTGTCAAGGTAAATCTCCACTCTCTGATGCTATCCTTTGGTTTATCAAGCACAGACTCACCAGCTGGCCCGCCAGCAGTGGCATATACTCAATAATAGCCAGCCGCACCCGCCACTTGGCGTCTTCAGCCAGTTCCACTATGGCAGGAAGGAGAGACTGAGAGAGTTGACGGATTCCAATGACTTCATTAACACAATCCAAATTGGAGATGATATTCAAACGAACTTCAGGACACTGTAAATACACAACCCCCAAAGACCACATGTAAAGGTTATACCCTCCGTACAAATAATAAGGTACAAACTGCTAAGTAAATTTTCAAATTAGAAAGTATTGACTCTGGTTAAAAGGGAGGACTGAGGATATAATTCGATGATAAAGGGGGCTGGGGATTTAGCTCAGCGGCATAGTGCCTGCCTGGCAAGTGCAAGGTGGTGAGTTTGATTCCCGGTACTGGAAAAAAAACAAAAAAACAATAATTCAATGATAAAGTACTTGCCAAACAGTACAAGACCCTGAGTTTAATCCTATTCACCACAAAAAAGCACAGCCTTAAAGGAAATACCAAATACTGAGTACACAAATAATTCAAGACACGTAACTGATCTTAACCAGAACTTCCAGTGAGAAATCTATAAGATGGTAAAAAGCATAGGCTCAGGAATTAAATTATATGTACTCAAATCTATCTGCCACTGCTGAGACCTCAGACAAGTTATTTTATCTCTGTGCCTCAACCTCATCTGAAAAATGGAAATAATGAGTCTTATGAGGATTACACGTAACAATAAAGCAAAGTATTTAGTATCACACCTAGTACATTTTAGTCAGTAAATGTCAGCTACCATTATAATTTTTGATATCATATTTAAACTTAAATAAAAGAGGCTTTTAAGCAAAGATTAGCTTTAAAGATAAATCTGTGAATATAAAGTAAAATTTGTGCAGAGGATGGATGGATTTTTTTAACAGCAGTGAAGTTTTATTAAGGATAGGAAAAGAAAGGCACTGTAGAGCAAGTTTCAGCCAAGAAAAAGTAGGCAAAGAAGCACACCTTACAGCATGAGGGCAAGCCATTATGCAAGAGCAAACACAGTGGCCTGGGTAGATGTTTTGAGGTTTGCTTTAGTGAGTCCCTATGTCCATTTTCTGGGGAAACTGTAACCCCAAATGCAAACATAAAGACTATCACAAGTTTATGATTTTTTAAAATTTATGATTTTTTAAAATCCATTTCCAATTTTGGGTCCTATTTTAGTGAAACTCAAATGAAAAATTTAGCAAATTGATGACTATCAAAGGCAATAGAAATTATACTCACCTCATCCTTTAACTGAGCTAAAAAAAGAGGTAGAAGATGTTCAATAGTATTCTCTTTGCCCAAAATGGTAGATAATCCCATAATTACAGAAGCTAGAGCTGTTTTGACATGTTGGTTGGTATCAGATACTAATTCCTAAAATAAAATCAAAATTAAAAGACTTTAATTTTTGCAATACAACAGAAATCTCCACACCATCTCCCAAGAAATTTAAGTGTACCACTATTTTAGTACTGATTAGCTGGCAAGATTTCATCAGACCACGTGTTAGACAACAGATTAAGGCATCAAGGAACATTTTATAATTATAATAGGTACTTATAAGGGATAAACAATACTGTGATAATTTAACAACTGTCCCATTCATCTCACCTTTGAATTCCAAGAGTTTAAGGTAAAAAAAAAATTGGGGTAAGGTTTACCTTCATATTGGGCAGAGTAAAACAAAATAAACTGAAGTTACATTTACCTTTATATATGGCAAAATCTGATTCATAATTACAGTCTCTCTATCTTCAGTAGGCAAGTTCTCACAAAGTTCTAAAAGAAGATAAGCAGAAAAAACAATACTTTTATAGAGTGATTTACAAGAAAAAAATAACTCCAACCAGGTTTTAGCTACAGTTACAAGTGAAAGCACATCATATATTTAAGCAAATAAGCTCTAACAGGGAAAATGACAGCCTAAATGAAATAACTATCAATCTTGATGCCACTTGTGTGTCATATCAATCTAATCTGTAAATGCATTTATAACAGAAACAAGATAAAACCGTTTAGTCTGAAATGTAAAAGTTTATATGACAATGTGATATTTTCACATAATGAAATTATCTCTGAGACATTTTCTAGAACACATAATGTGCAAAACTCACTGTCATAAAAAAAACACCAAAATGAGTGACACGTTACAACACAAATTGAACCATCTAACCTTTTACTTTGTGAGCAGCAGCTGCTCGGACTTCAGCTTCACAATCTTTAAGTAGGTTCTGAAATGCGGGGATGAGGTCATTTAGGGTGATTTTAGGACCCACTGCTTTCTGGAGCTTTAAAGAAATTTGTACAGATTTTAATGTATACTAACAAAATAATAAGAATAAAACTGTAATCTTCAAATATTTATTTTTGTCACAACACTATCTATTCAACAGAATTAGTTCAGAAACTTTTGATATCACAGCAAATTCGATGGGTTTCTGCTTTGACTTTCTCCTTTAACACTTAACAATGTCAGTACAATGATTTTACCTCTGAAAACTTGTCAGCTACCATATAGCGAACTCGCCAAGATTTATCTTCAGCTGCTTGTCGAAGGGTAGGCATTACCAAGACCTCAAGATCTTCCTGAGACAACAACTGGGCAATACTGACACAAGCTTCCACAGCTAGGAGGCGCACTGAGTCCTAAAGAGATAAATTTCTGTTACACAATATTTAGTGAGAGCCAAGGGAGTACTTTGTATGGTTTGAAGTAGTACTGTTGTTGATACTGTTTTTTAAAAAAAAAACCAGGTACACTACATGTGATTTTGCGTCTCATGGCTTGAAACTGCTGAACTGCTGCTCCCCCTGCATGGAATGGCACATGAAAGCCACAAAGATAGAACTGATATTATTCTAAAAGTAAAAAGAAAATTATCTTGGCTGGAGTGCAGGGTTCTTATTTTTTTAAAAATGAAAGAATATATAAAGATTAAATGAAAAAAAAGGAACATTTCAATGATACCTTCAAAGCCTTACTTGTAATAGTGACTCCAAGGATAAAAATGAAAATTATCTTTGTATAAGTTTTTTATTAAATAAGAACAGAGAAAGGGGTCAGAGCAAATCACTGAGAAAGTTCAGTTAGAAATACACAAACAACGGAAAGCAAGTAATAAAAAAAATGGATTTAAATGTTGAAGATAGCTGGGCATGATGGCACACACCTGTAATCCCAGCATCTGGGAAGCTGAGGCAGGAAGGTCATCATGCATTCAAGGCCAGCATGGGCTATATAGTGAGTTCAAGGCCAGCCTGCACCACAAAGCAAGACCTTGTCTCAAAAAAAAAAAAAAACTGAACAAATAAATGTTGAAGATCAAAAAGAGGCTGACTTTGAGGTCAGCATATCGGAAAAAAAAACAGCAGAAAAAATTAGAACAACATGGGACTAATGAACTAAGAGTTCCAGACATAAAATGTCAAGGGCCAATGTGACACCTGTATGTCCTCTGAGAAGTAGAAATACATGACTGGGAACTAAGATGACCTGGAAATTACACATATGTAAGCAGAAGTAGAAAACACATGAACATATAAGCACCCAGGAGAAACAGGACAAAAACTCAGTGCAGACAGAATTACACTGTGGTATACACATATGTAATAATCAAAGATGATACTTAACTCTCTAAAATAGTACCAATTTTAAATGATACGAATCCACAACAATAACCTACATGCCTAAGACACATTCACTCTTCTGATAGAAAGGAATAGGCAAAAAAGGCAGAACTAGGTTCTTGGTACTGGCTACACAGGTATCTTTGGATTTTGAAAATGAAGCCAAATCAGGAAACTACTATCATCTACTAAAATATATGCCAACAAACACTTACCACTTCTCTTCCAGAATTCCTTATTTTCTCCCCTACACCTGTCCCTCCTCGCAAAATCCTCTCCATCTCGGCAACAACACCATCCAACTGCTCAATCCAAAAGTTTAGATGCTGATCCCTCTTTTCCTCATCCAACACACCAGTATAAATGTTCTCAACTCCACTTCCAAACCTTATAAACAGACTCTCCCCATTGTAACAGTCTCCTACCTGGTTTTTTTGAATTCTCATCCCTCTCCCAATTTAGTTTCCACCCAGAAGCCAGAATGATCTTTAGAAGATATTAATTATACCGTGTCACATTCCCACTCAAAATCTAGGAAAAGAATCCAAACTCTATATTCTGGCCTAAAGAATTGGCCTTGCTTACTTTCTTCTCCAACTCATCTCTTAGCACGATGCATCTTTAGACAACTATATTCCCATCACAAGACCGTCACACTACACACCCTCTCTTTCAGGAATTCTCTTTTCCTGGAGCTCTCACAATCTAAGAAGTGGAACGGACGACATTCTTCTTTCATGTGTCAGTTTACGCTACTTCTCCAGTCCTCTCTGACAAGTCTAGAAAAATGCCCAATAGTCATTCCCTATTTTGTCATTCTACTTTGCTTTCATAAATTTAACCCTCATACTGGTCTATTTATTTTCTCCATTAAAATGTAAACTCCATGAGAGTAAGTTCTCTGTAAGACTCGTTCAACATTGTTCTCCAGCACCAGAACAGTGCCTAGTTACATAATAGGGGTTCAGCAAGTATGTTTTCAATAAATGAGTAAGGCAAAAGCAGTTATTCTGTTGGTGGGCAGAGGGAACATAAGTATTTTATAAAAAAGCACCTCACATATTTTGAGCATCAAATGCTGCTAAAAGTAGCATACATACTCCCAACTATGAAGCTGTCTTTTTACCCCCAAAATATCAAACTTAACTTTCATTAGAGTGGGTACACTTAAACTTTCAAAGAGCAGGTACAGGTCAAGGGTACAGAAAACAGTGGTCAAATCCAGACACAGTTTTCATAAATAAGTTTTTACTGGAACACTGACATGTTCATTAGTTTGCATATTCTCTGTGGCTGTTTTTTGCACAACAGCAGTAGATAGTTACGATGGAAGACTATTGGACCCACAAAACCTAAAATAAGTTTATGATCTGGCCCTTCACAAAAGAAGTCTGCAAGGGGGCTGGGGATTTAGCTCAGCGGCAAAAGCGCCTGCCTGGCAAGCGCAAGGTCGTGAGTTCGGTTCCCAGTACCGGAGAAAAACCCAAAAAAAAAAA